GCCTTCGCTCTGGTCTTACCACCGGTCTTTCCTCGTCCAGACATTTTCGAGTTTTTATGTTCGTCGAGTTCAATGGAATTACGTACTTCACATCCTTTATCATGCTTATTATAAACACACAGCTGCTCGCTCATTGGTGACACGGAGCGTAACTGTGATCGTCCAATCAGAAACGAGAAGGACAAGTTCCGCTGTTAACTACAGGTTTTCTGCTCTATACCGTGTAAGACTTTCAAAATAAAATGTGACAAATATAACCTACGGTCATTATAATTAGCAAAATACTTTTTTGAAAACTCAATGCTTTTATTAATAAACATATGTGTTTGTATATATATTTTTTTCTGATAATATCCAGTCCATCTATCAAAAACATTATTTTTTTGGAAAGACAAATTTTGCTCTGTGTTATTGAAATGGGTTATTTATTAATATATTTATAAATTAGTGCTGGCAACGATTCAAATTTTTAATCGCATGGATTTGAACATGCGATTAATGCGAACATTGTGAATGGCAAAGTTCAATTATGAATTCAAAAGTAGTGTATTGTGCACTTTTATTTTAAAAGTAATGCTATATGAACAAAAGTGCAATAACATTTGGTTTAAACACTTTAAACAAATAAGGTTCTTGTTAACAGCAGTATTCCCTTTACACAGCAGCAGTTCTATCTCTTCACTATCTGTGCTCAGTGTACTGACTGTATGTGAAACATTCCACTGCTGTGCAACATGAATAACATGTTTCAGCATGTTTCAGCACGTTTCATGACAGTCAGAGCATGTGAATGCAGCTCTACTGTTCATCAATATAATGCTGTAACTCAGAGGTGATGATGGTGACCCAGCGATCAAAGAATAAAGACACCTTACCCACAATTTAGGTGTATTTTCCCTTTAACTCACGAGATGCAGCATGTTTTATACTTAATGTGAATATAATTCATACTTTGTTGGCATCTTATTCTGAAAACCGGATGTTCGTCTGAAAAAACCGGATGTTGTCTCACGTCAATCTTTCCGCTACCTTTCAAAGTCCTTCGCTCGCTCCCGATCCGTGCCGTTTAAATGCGTTTACCGTGAATGTCAGCATATAGGTGCACTAACATGTAAGTGTCTGCTGAGTTGACCACGGAGATCTGAGTGTCTGCTGACTTTACCGCAGCGATGTCCAGTAGTCTCCATTCCTCCACCGCTGCTGTGAGCAACGGACTTTCAAATGAAAAAATGCATTAACGCGCAATAAAATAATTGTCGGCGTTAATTAATGAATGCGTTAACGCGATAATGCGTTAACTTGCCCAGCACTAGTATAAATATAATATATTTACTATATTTATAAACCATATATAATATTTATAAATATAGTATATATATATATTTCCCTCTCATTGTTCGTCCTGTGGAGGTTTGTTACAGACCATAATATGTTCTATGAAGGTAGTACTCATGTCTTTTGCAGTAAAACTTGATAGTTAAAATATAAAACGTTTGTCTGAGACTCGTCTCTTTAACTTTATTTTTACACTCAAGGTGTCTCCTGAAGACTTCCTGTCTCAGTGAATGTTTGTGTGTTGCCATGGTTACAGTATGATGAACGAGGAAACAGAAATTTTTTTTTACTTTATTCATTCACTTAAATTATCAGTTTTAATTACAGCACTTTAAAACTCTTCTCATGGTTTTAATTAAAGGGACAGTGATACAGGATGTGGTTAGCCTAGCTTAGCATGGTCAGCCAGCCTCAGTCCTCAATAACAACAATAACAACCATACGCTAACGAGTTCCGCTTTCAGCAGATTCACGTCACTCTGAGGGAACATTTTCAAAATAAAGGTCCTGTCAGTACGAGGTGGAGGTCTTCACCGGTCCACTTGGTTCCCACTGTTAGCCACATGCTATGCTAACATTAGCCAGCAAGCTAATTTCAGCTAATGCTTAGCTAGCGAGCTAATATAAATGATCATCAGAGTGCCAAAACTGGGAAGTGAACCAGGAACGAATCATTTGAATTGTTAAAAACAACATCACAACAATAAGTCAGAAGATAAATGTTTATCACATACAGTGCCTTGCATAAGTATTCACCCCCCTTTAAAGTGACAAACACACCTGTGTCTGGGAGCTCCAGTCTCTGGTTCATCAGTGTTCCTGCTACAACTACAACATGAAGACAAAAGAACACTCCAAGCAACTCAGAGAAAAGATCAATGAGAAGTACAAGTCAGGAGATGGCTACACAAAGATTTCCAACTCACTGGACCTCCCACAGAGTTCAGTTCAGTCCATCATTAAGACATGGAAGGAGGATGGGACTAGTTTAAATCTCCTAGAGCTGGCCGTCCTCACAAACTGAGTGACCGGGCAAGAAGAGGACTGATGAGGGAGGCCACCAAGACACCTAGGACCACTCTGAAGGAGTTCAAAGCTTCAGTGGCTCAGATGGGAGAGACTGTACATACAGCAACTGTTGCCCGGGTTCTTCACCAGTCGAAGCTGTATGGGAGAGTGGCAAAGAGAAAGACACTGTGGAAAGAATTCACCCAAAGGCATTGTGGGAGACTCCTAGGTCAACTGGAAGAAGGTTCTTTGGTCTGATGAGACAAACATTGAGCTGTTTGGCCATCAGACTAGACCAGGCATGTCCAAAGTCCGGCCCGCGGGCCAATCACGGCCCGAGGTCAGATTTTATGGCCCGCACCTTCTGTCTTAAAATGCATTATTTATGGCCCGCCAGCACAGTCAATACGGAATGAATAAATCATACAAATTCAACATGCAATTCCTCTTTTTACCTCATGGTGGCAGCACCACTCTGTAACTGTCTGGCTGTTTGAAATTGGCTCTGACCCTTGACCTGTCATGTTACCGCAAGTAAAAAAAGGAAAGTCGATAATGAGGGCCGCCGCTTCCAGGAGAGGTGGAGATCGCAATATCTTTTTCACCGAAAACCGAAACAACTGTGTCTGCCTAATTAGTCATGAGACTGTTGCCTTGTTTAAGGAATATAATGTAAAGAGACACTACGAGACCAAACATGCTAATGCTACAACAAGCTATCAGAGCGACCGAGCTAGAAAAGTGAAGCAACTCCAAGATAACTTGGCCACACAGCAGCGGTCCTTTTCACATGAACACATCATCACAGTAAGCTACCAAGTGGCTATGCTAACTGCTAAACATGACAAACCTTTTACGGAAGGTGAGTTTATCAAAGACTGTGTTATGAAAATAGCAGAAAACATAATTGCCCCGAGAAGAAGACAGTTTGCTAATGTTTGCCGGGCTTGTTGTTGAGATGTGTTCACACATGAATGCTTACATTTGGTTACATTGCTATTTGCTGTCATTGAAAATAAAATGATTAAATAACAATGTATGTATAGGCTACTTGTATTGTTTAAAATAATGTCAGCAGGGACTGTTGGCCCTTGGGCATTTTCACATTATCAAATCTGGCCCTCTTTGAAAAAAGTTTGGACACCCCTGGACTAGACGCCATGTTTGGTGAACACCAACCACTGCACATCAGCACAAACACACCATCTCCACCGTGAAGCATGGTGGTGGCAGCATCATGCTCTGTGGATGCTTCTCAGCAGCAGGCCCTGGAAGGCTTGTAAAGGTAGAGGGGGACATGAATGCAGACAAATATCCACAAATCCTGGAGGATGATCTGACTCGGTCTGCAAGAGAACTACGACTTGGGAGAAGATTTATTCTCCAGCAAGACAACGACCCCAAGCATACAGCAAAAGCTCCACAGAATGGTTCAAAGACCACAAGGTGAAGGTTCTGGAGTGGAAGTCAAAGCCCAGACCTCAATCCAATCCAGGATCTGTGGCTGGACTTGAGAAGAGCTGTTCACACCCGATCCCTGAGCAACCTGACAGAGCTGGAGCTGATTAGAAGAAGAAGAATGGAGAAACATCTTAGTGTCCAGATATGCCAGCCTGAGTGACACACACACACACACACACACACACACACACACACACACACACACACACAGTGCTGTGATTGCAGCCAAAGGTGCATTTACTAAACACTGACCTGAAGGGGGTGAATACTTATGCAATCTTTACTTTACCTTATATATTTTTAATTAATTGACATTATTTTGTAAAAATCTGTTTTCACTTTGATATTAAAGGTTTTTTTTGCAAATTCTTGTCAAAAAAGCCAAATTATATAGACCATGATTTCATGTATAAAAGCAACAAAAGGATGAAACATCCAAGGGGGGTGAATACTTATGCAAGGCACTGTATTTAAGATATTTATCACATCTTATTTTGAATGTTTGTTTATTATCTCAGTCCATTTTAAATACATTTTTGTGTATTTTGCAGTTTTGTTGTTGACGTTTGAGTTTCGGTTGATGTTGATGTCATCAGGTGGTTTCAGGTCAGAGGACGTGAGGAAGAGTCCCGACCACCTGTGACGTCATCACACCTCGGTGAGTGACAGAGCGTCTCGTGATGTCAGCAGTGACACCTGTGCGTGTTTCTAAAACCACTTCCTGTCCCAGGACGGGGAAGGGGGCGTGGCCACCTGAGGCAGGAGGTAAGTCAGTTACTGTTACGCCGTCCCAGCATCCTTAGCGAGCGGCGACACCGGGCTCAGATGCCTCCGTCCCGTGGACCCGGTCTCGGTTGGGGGGGAGGAGGAGGCTGAAGGGGGGCGGAGCCTGGAGGCGGTGCAGCGAGGACTTTGGCTGATGGACGACAGCGTCTGCTGGCTGCCGTTCAGGAAGGACGAGGTGTTGGAGCCCTGATGGAGGCGATAGTTATAATATATCCGACGCTTCCTCTTCCACCGACAACGCAGGATCCTTATGAAGGCCTGGACCACGAGACAAGAACCAGAACCACATTAGAGCTGTCAGAGTACTGAACCAGTATCTGAAACACTGAACCAGTAACCAGTGGTAGTAGTAGTAGTAGTAGTAGTACTAGTAGTAGTAGTACTAGTACCTGTTTAAAGTCCCGGCTGTTACAGGGGTAGATGATGGGGTTCAGGCAGCTGTTGAAGTATCCCAACCAGAAGATCACTTTGAAGAAAGTTTCAGGAGGACGAAGACTACTGTTGAAGGAACCTGAACACACACACACACACACACACACAGAGAGAGAGTTAGTCATCATCTATTCTAACTCATCATCATCCTCATCACCATTATCTCCTATTCTGTCCTTGTCTCCTCACATCACAGAGGAGGTGACCTGTAGATGAGGCAGGTGATCTGCAGCATGTTGGAGGTTCTCAGAGGATTGTGGAGGATTATGGGGGATTATGGGGGATGAGGTTTTTGATGTTCTTCAGATATCACAGACTGCTGGATGATTATTTCTCCCAGAAGGTGGACTTGTAAGGCCATCCTGCGCCTCAGGCTGTGTTCTGTGACTATATATGAAGGGCCTGACCTCGTCCAGAGATCATGTGACACCTTCCCATGATGCATCACTGTCACACCTCCAAGTTTGGTGAGACTAGGAGAAGTTATTTTGGTTTCAGTTTAACATGGATCCTCTGATCCAGGATCTGATCCTCATGAACTCAGAGTAAAGTATTTAATCACAAGGTAAGAGAGGAGGAGAAAGGAGAGAGGAAAGGGGAGAGAGGAAAGGTTTGGGTTTATTGATCCAGGAGACACCAGATCACTGTCACATCATCAGTTCAAAAATATATATAAAACAACTCATCCAAGCACAAAAAAATATCAACTTGGAAGGAGGAGAGAGGAGAGGAGGCAAGGACAGAAGGAGAGAGGAGAGGAGGCAAGGACAGAAGGAGAGAGGAGAGGAGAAGGGCCTCGATACGCCAACAAAGACTCCACAGAAGAAAAAGAAGAACAAATATTGATAAGAGTACTAGTATCTACATGTTGCACAGATTGAATTCTGTCTAACAGGTGATGGAGATGAGCCAATCAGAGTGGTTTGACTCTGGTTCTTAAAACATTATGGGATGTTTAAATAGAGTAGTTCATGTGTTCCAGGATGAACTCAGCTGCAGCTTTTAGTAACTGAGTCACTCTATGACTCATGGTTAGTTTTATTTTTATGATTTATTTTGGTTCAACAAATCATAACGATTATCGTGGACAGTTTATCACCAAAACTACATTTTACAGATGACATGTGAACACATCACGATAACGTTATAATGTACCTTCAGCCAGTACTTGTGTTCACTGAGCAGAGCCTGAAGGCATCATGATGTAACTAGTGAACCTCCGTTGGTTAGCCGTTAGCGGTGCTGCTAACGTTACTGGCTCTCCTCCTGTTGCTGTAAACACTGATTGGTTGTTAATAATGTAACATCATCAGAGATCAGAGACTATAATAATGAGTATTGCTTAGAGGGACACGTACTGATGGGCAGAACCAGGAAGAAGGGCAGCCAGCAGAGGATGAACATCCCCACCACCACCCCGAGGGTCTTGGCCGCCTTCTTCTCTCTGGAGAACTTCAGCAGTTTGAGGGTGAGCGCGCTGCGTGCGGACGAGGCCCCGCCCCCTCCGCCCTTGGGGGCGTGGCCTGGCTCCTGGACTGGCTGGTTCCTGCGGTGGATCCTCATGGTGAGCTCGTTGGAGTCCTGCAGACGCTCCCTCATGACGCCGGCCTCCAGGTTCTTGGTGGTCCGCTTGGCCACGACGTAGACCCGCCAGTACATGAAGAGGATGACGGCCAGAGGGATGTAGAAGGAACCGAGAGACGAGAACAGAGCGTAGAACGGTTCCTCTGTGATGAGACACACCGTGTCGTCCTGATGGGGGTGAGAGGTTCTAGTGAGAACACTCCAGATTTAGAACCCGAAACACTCAGTAATAGAACCTGAAACACTCAGTGATCTAGAACCTGAAACACTCAGTGA